ACTTACTGGATTTGGCATGGTATAGATGTTGAGTGGGGGAATCCCACTGTATCTAGCATAGTGTAATTGTTTTATGGGAAAATCCCACTCCTCACTGGGCTATTTAATTGCAGATCATAACAAAGATGGTTTTTTTTTTTTTTTTTTTTTTTTTTTTGGTTTTTCGAGACAGGGTTTCTCCGTGTAGCTTTGCGCCTCTCCTGGAACTCACTTGGTAGCCCAGGCTGGCCTCGAACTCACAGAGATCCGCCTGGCTCTGCCTCCCGAGTGCTGGGATTAAAGGCGTGCGCCACCACCGCCCGGCCAAAGATGGTTTTTATAGAGCAACGAAGCTCAGAGATGTGAGACTGACTGATGAAAACAAGGAAGTTTCGTGCAGTATGGACACACGAATTCTGTCTGTGGAAAAATAGTCTGATGATTGAAGAAAGCAATTATGTCCCTACATCCAAGGTTATGTCTGAGTTCCTTGGTCATGTAGCTTACAGAATTAATCTCAGGTTTCAGTGTGTACTTTGAGAAAACAAAGTTGTGAAAGGAAATTAAATGACCTTACTGTGTGTAAAGAAAAACTGATGGTTAGCTAGACCACTCGATTAAGGTTCTGTCAAATCAAATAAGGATGAAAATCTGCTACACTATAACCACAAACTGCTGCCTGCCAGTACACAGGAACGGGCTGAAATATACTTGGCTTAATCAATAATAAAAAATCATTACTTTAGGGTGAAGATCTTACAGTTGGTAAATTAATACAAAGGATCATGGTTAATTACATGTGGGCATCTCATAAAGCATGTAGCTTGTGGTCTTCCTTAGTAAGGATTTTAATTTGATTTTGGAAAATATATAACTTGCAGCTGTGAGATGATTTTCTTCTTGAATAGAGATTTTTGTCGTAGGTGGTATAAAATGGTTAAGAGAAAAACAGAAATGAAAATTAAGTTTTGCTCCCTCAGGTAAGAATTCTGTGTGTGTTTAGCCTCTGACTCCATATCTCCTCTCCAGTTTCTCTGACCTGCTGTAGCTGGACTCCAGCAGTGTATAATTATGAGTATTTAGAATATAGTTAGAAGCTACATTGATTTAGGAAAGTGGCTGTAGTAGGTTCTCGTCTAGCGTCTATGACATCTCCAGCTGTGGATAGTCAACTAGGTTTACAGTATTGGGCCTGAATTCATGGCTACTGAGCCATTGAATTCAATAAGGCATATGTTAGTGTCCTCAAAGATGAAAGTGCTACTATTGCCCCTGTCCATTACTGTGTCAGAGGAGCAGCAAAGGGCAGGTGACTTCAGGGTGTCAGGCCACCAGGAGGTGAATCCCTGATGGGTGAATCTCAGGAAGGAGAGGCCCCAAGACCACAGACTCCAGAGTGTCTTCTGCTTTTGTGCCTTCACGTGTTTGCTGCTGCCATCTTTCTCTGGTATCTGGCACGGTGTGAATGGGGTGTAGGGAGATCCCCTGCCTGTAATGTAGTGTGCTTATCTCATGGAAATACCCCATCGTATTGGGCATTCTTACCTGTGGATTATTGTGAAGATTATTTCTTCTTAAGCTGTTCTGTCTTATTGATAATAATAATGTTAATTTAAAAAGAGTTTTGGTGATAAAAAATAAAACAAGGAAGCGTAACACACCTAGAACACATGAATTTCTGTTGAGGAGCCATATACTGTAGTTTAAGTTAATGATTAAATAAAATAGTTGAGTCCCAGTAGCCCAGCTAGTTTAAATTCTATTAATTTTAATGTTGGGAGATGTGTTCACAGGTTTATTTGGGGAGGCATCATAGCTGAAATAGAGCTTTGAAAATAACTTAAAGTTAGACTAAAATGTTTTTCTCAAATAGCTTTGAGGTGAAAAACCCAAGAAGACAATCTAAAGTTTTAGAAAAGCACATAGTTGAATGAGGAACTCATTAAGGTCAGGGAACAAGAACAAAGCAGCCCAATTATCATTACCTGATGTGCCTTTCTTGCTAGAATTGGTTGATGACCAAAGGTGATGATTAATTACTTATACCCATTTATGCTCTCAATCTCCTGATGTAAAATCTATTAATTGTAGGTGAATTTCTAAATGGTCTTATTAAATAAGAAACACAGAGCCAAATACAGAGGTAATTGCCAAAGAGATTAGAGCAATAGCCATGACTAGCTTTAGCTTACCACCAGCAGTAGTTTCCACAGAGAGAGCTTCTTCCTGTCTAACCCTTGTTTTTATTGCCTTCCTGTTCTACCTTCTCATTGGCTCTAAGCCCAGCCACATGACTTCCTCATCACTGTCTGTCTATACAGACCTCCAGGTCTCTATGGTTGGTACTGGCATTAAAAGCTTGTGTCACCACACTTGGCTGTGTCCTCGACCACACAGAGACTCTGCCTGCCATGTAATCAGATTAAGGGCATGTGCTACCACTGCTGGACTTCTGTTTTATAGCTAATTGGCAACTTTATTTATTAACATACAAATAAAATATCACATTTCAACACAAAGGAAGTATCAGCACAATTGATGAATGGGTGTATACCCTAAAGATTTCAAGTAGAACTGACTGATTCTTTTTCATATGTAAAAGTTTAGATTTGTGATTCTTTTAAGATTTCTTATAAGACTATCTTTCAAGATAAGTAATAAAGTGATTGGTCCTTTCTTTGTAACTGCAAAACACAGCCTTACAGTAAAAGAATATCTTGCTTGCTTACACTCTGTTAATCTATAACAAGTTGCTTGGGTATGAATGTATGTGGGTTCTTGGGATAATTTGTTTCTTACCTGTAATATGTAAATTTTATGTTTAATCATGTAAGGGATATGGAAAACATGCAGCTTTTTACTTGCATTCATTGTAATAATTCACTTGAAAAACAGAATATAAGCATATTGTCATTTTTATATTGCCTGAAAGATTTTTCTGGGGGTATTTATACAGTAAGGGAAAGTATAAAGATAGAGTTAAAATGAGTTAGAAGGAAAGCATCAAGAATGAGAGAATAAGGAAGAATAAGGACAGAATTAGAGGGAAAATATCTAGAGAAACAGAAGGGATATTTCTGGATAGAGAAAAGAAAAGAGAATATAGAACATAGAAGAAGAGAATACAAAAGAAGAATAAAGAAAATGTCTGAAGGAAACCATCCAATGAATTTGTGAGTGTCTTCTTCCTAACCCTTCAGATAAAAATATCATAGTACTGGCTGACTCCATGAATTCCCTTTGATCCCTGCACTGAGGGAGGTTGGTCCCCCAGCCTGCCACATGCATCATTGTGGATATCTTGTCGTGGTGGTCATTGTTTTGGTTCATAGTATTTAAACAATTTGGTAGGATTATTTACTGCTTTTCTCCCTTGGAATCTTACATGTCACGTTCACATACTATGAAAACTCGTACTCAGGGAAGAGTCTTCAGGTCATTTCTAGTTAAGTTCCTCCAAGTCCTATGTCTGAAATATATGGTGTTGTTTGAAATAGGTCTTACCTTCAAATTCTATGAGGGCAATCGAAGGCAATGGCAATAGCCTAATTTATTTGGAGTCTCTTGAAGTCCCTAACTAACAACTTGAAGAGATGTTTCCCATGCCTGACACTGGTTTTTGTGGGTTTTTTGTTTGTTTGCTTGTTTAGTTGTTGTTGTTTTTTTTTTTTTTTTTTTTTTTTTTTTTTTTTTTTTTTTTTTTTTACAGATTTGGCATTCATTCTAGGTTTGACAAGCACTCCTCTGAGAAATTCTGTTCTATGCTGTGCCATTTAAGTAGTATTTGAAGTTTAAAAATGCTATAAGACATTCTATTTGCTCCTTAACCAGTGAGATAGCAAACACTACTTCATTGTTTTTTGTGAACACAAACATGAATCTTTTTTGAGCAATACCAAAGTCTTTGATTTCAGATCTTTCTTCCTTTACAGAGAGATAAATATGAGTGATAGAGGATTTTAATTTAAACCAGTATTTTGTTCCCAGAATTGAAATGAATCAAAAACTTGGCTTCCTTTCCCCCACTTCAGAAGAATTATCAGAGAACCTAACTCAAATCCCAGGTGAGTGACTACACCATGTCCTCAGGATTTAAGTCCAATGGCAGATGAGAGTGGACATTAAGTGGGGAGGGCTTTCTGGACAGAGGCTTTTATAACTAGCCTGATTCCTATGCAGTGTGTAGGACAGGAGAGAAGCTGCCTCTCAGTGCACAATCTTCAGAGCTCCAACAACTCTGTTTCCTGAGCAGCCTCACTAAGTGAAGGCTCTTGGGAACTGTGGTGATTTTAATGAGAATGGCCTCATAGGCTCCAATATCTGAGCATTTCCTCAGTAGGTAGAATGTTTAGGAAGGATCAGGAGGTGTGGCCTGGTTAGAGGTGGTGTGTCACTGGTGGTGGGCTTTGGAATCTCAAAGCCAAGCCAGGCCCAAAGCTCCTTCTCTCTGTCCCTTCCTTGTGATCAGATGTAAGTTCTCAGCTACTGCTCCAGGGACATGCCTGCCTGTCTTCTATTATGCTCCCCACCATGATGGTCATGGACTCACCCTCGAAAATGTATCAAGCCACAAATTAAATGCTTTCTTCTATAAGTTGTCTTGGTCATGGTGTTTCTTCACAGCAATTGACAAGTAACTGAGACAGGAGATTAGGCTGAACTCTCTGTAACATAGACCAAGGAGAAGAAGAATCTAAATTACTTGTGCAGTGAGACTGAAGCAGATTTTTAAAGACTAGAGTATGTGTTCCTCCTTGGGTCATACATTTGTGGGGTAAGAACAGAATATTGTTGGATGATTTAAATCACTAAATTTTGAAAGACATCTTGGTAGAGATAAATTCCATGTCAGGGTTTTCCTGGAGGTGTTTTCTGTGAGAGAGTCTCCACTTAAGGAGAGAACAGTATTTGAGGGGATCAAAGCCTGAGTTGTCTCTAGCAATGACTTCCATCCTATCCTGTAAGAATATCCACAGATTCTTAGTTTTCTAGGAATCTGATCTGAGATGTGTTGCTGTGTTTCAGGAGGCTGGGTAAACCCCACTTAGAGAAGACACACAGTCCTCCCTCACAGGGCCACTCCCCTCAGCCCCCTGCACCCTGAGTTTGTGTGCAGCTTCCCCTGCAGTCTCCCTCACTGTGTCACTCACAGCACAGTAGTACAGGGCAGAGTCTGCCAGCTGCACTGAGGACTTCTGCAGGTGGAAGGAGCTGCTGCTCTTATGGAGAGTGGCCTGGAACCCTTGGTGCTCTGTCTTCTTGTTGTCTGTGGAGCTCTTCAGGAGTAGCTGAGGGCCTTTGTTCAGATATTGCACGTACCAGAAAAGGGTAGTAGTTGTTGAGTAAGTAATCTGATAGGTGCAGTTCATGATCACAGGCAACCCCTCTGTGACAGTGACCAGGCCTTCTGTCTGGGTCACTGAGTCTCCATTGCTCCTCCCTGAAAATAAATAAATAAGAAGAAATCACTTTGCTATGTGAGGAAGAAGGTAAAGACTTCCATAGTTGTAAGAAAATGGCATCATCAACACTTAGGAAATGTAACTTACTGAGCATGAAGAGGAGCAGCAGAACTGAGCAGGTGTCAGGAAGCATGTTCATAGGAGAAAATGACACTTGGTTCTTGAGTGCACCAAACTCACAGGGCAAGTCTCCTACAGAACCTTACTGAAAGTCCTCACTCACAAACAACGACCTCCTCTGCACAGTGACAGTCTGTCATGTGAAGCCACCACCTTGATGCAGACATTAACCACAACTGAAGAGACAGTGCCCTCTGCTGATTTCCCTTCAAACTGCACCACAGATGTCTGCACAACACACTGAATAAACCTGAAACCTCACCCAAAGGAGACAGGTCTCAAGTCCCCAACAGAGGCCTGAAATCACCACTGTTACTGAATTACGTGTATGTTATTTTATTTTGTGTGCTGAATATGCATAACATAATATACATACATTTATATACATACACACACACCTACCAACTGATAAAATTTATCTACTTTTTCTCATTTTATTAGTTCATGGGGAATGTTATGCAATGAAATTTGTTTGCATTCATCTGTTCCCTATACTCCTGCTAGATCCATCCACTCTTCCCTACCAACCCAGTCCCCCTCCTTTTAAAACAGACACCTCAAGCTTTGAGATTTAGATTGTCCTTCTCATATACTATTGGATGTGTGACCTTCAGTGGAGGGTGGTCTATGCACCAGGGGTTGCATCTTTAAAGAAATGTGTTTCTCTCTCCCAGCAGCTATGAACTGCTCCTACCTCTGTAGCTAAGGGTGGGATGCCCACCTTCCCTCTGCCCTACTGCAATTGCATCTGGCCTGATCCTTTGAAGATCTTATGTGTGCTGTTATGCTCTGTGAGTCCATGTGTGCAGCTGCCCTGCTGAGTCCAGAGAACACTGTCTCCTTGTAGTCATCCCCCAGCTATGATTCTCAGAGTCTTTCCACCTCCTCTTCCTCAGTGACCTTTGACCCTCTGAGGAGGGTTTGTGAGGTAGATGTCCTACCTGGGGCTGAATGTGCCATAGCCTCTTCTTCTCTGAAGCACGGGGAGTTCTGTGAAGCACTGTGACAATCAAAATGTGCTGCAGCCAGGCAAAGGGAATGACATAACTATTTCCATTTTAAAAAATGGAAAAACTGTCCTAAATTGTTTGGAGTGACTTGAAACAAGCTTTCTTGTTTTGTGTTTTTAATGTCTACAGTGTAGTTGGCACTTACCAACTAACAACTGTCAAATGCACTGGAAGGCCTGTGACAGGGTGTGGATGGGGCTCCAGGCCCTGTGGCAGTTTTAGGACAGACTGCAGTGTGTACTTGTAGCACAAAAGTACATGGCAGAGTCTCCAGGCTCGGTGGGTGTCTGTCGTGTGTAGGGAGAGGTGTTTGGCTTTCTTATCCTGTAAAACGATCAGTTTTTACTCCTGCTTTCTTTCCACAGTTGAACGAATGTCAATAATGAGCTGAGGGTGTTCTCTAGGTCCTTGCTTATACCAAGAGAAGTAGTCCGAGGTACTGTCTGTGTAAGTGCAGTTGATGACCGCACTGGCTCCCTCCTGGACTCTCAGGGTGGAAGGATGCTGCTCCACCTGCTCACCTTGGCCTACCCCTGTGCAGAATGATGCAAAAGGGAGAATGATTGTCATGTCATCACTGTTCAGGATTCTCTTTATCTAACAGTAACTAGAGTAAACCTGACTAATATGGAGTCCCTCCTGGGTGTCTCTGAAATGCTCAGGGAATATTCTGTGTCCTTAAAATCTTAACTCACCATCCAGCTGCAGCCACAAGATTATGAATAAAGGGGGAAAATGTGTTTTCATTGTTCTTACAATTAAATTAAGATACAGTTTAGATCGTGATGACTAGCAGGTCAGCTACAGCTACGGGTTGTTGTTCTTTCTCAGGAACAATTCTACCTCTTGAGTCATCCACTCAGCCACTGAAAGAAAGGCTAGGCTTCTGCCCTAAGCCTGCACAATCAGCACAAGGAAGTAAATCCTCTGCATACTCTCCAGCAGCTGAGATCTACTACCACCTTGTGGTTGCACCCTTAACCAGTGAGGCCTCTGCTCAAATGTTCTTTTACCTGTGAAGGACTCAGACACATAAAACAGAAATACATTGTATCAAGTGCCTTCTAGTACTGAGATATCAAGAATGGTATTTGCACACACTAGTGAGGCTGTTTTTATATTTAGATCTAATGTAACATATGTAAATTCTGCACATATACATGTATAAATGTTGTGTTTCCATATATGGATGTATATATGTGATGTGTTCATATATAAGTGTTTGTTTGTGTGTGTGTAACACATTCTGTCTAGAACTCTATTTACTAATCCACTCACATATTGCAGAATGCTCAGATCATTCATCAAGGAACTCCCCCTTTTCTTAGAGACAGATACTTAGGCCAGTATTTGTTTGTGCAAGTTACGGCGTATGGGAAAAGGCTTTTTCAGGTCTCTCATGGGCTTTCAGCTGCAAGAGGACAATGTGAGTTTTTGTTGACAATACAGATATGATGTTTTCATGCATGCATCTTACCTTCTATAGAAGTTGGTCTGGAATCACAACTACACACAACTACTCTTAGGAACATTCTCAGAAATCATTTCATCTTGAGGATGGCACCATCCATTTCACTCACTCACTCCCACAGCATCTAGACTAAATCACTGATAGAAGAGCAATAGTGGATTCCCTGGAGAATCTGCCAAAGCTTGCAACAAATCCATCTTTCTTCTTTCTTGTGGACCTTCCCAGCAAACCCTCCTCTAGCCCATTGCCTTTCCTTCCTGGCAACTGTGAAGAGCTACAAACACTGTGTATCTGGGAACCCAGTGTGCATGCGGGCTTGGGAAGCTGAAGGCCATCTTCACTGTCCTTCCTGTCCTCTGTTTCAGCTCCCATGGTACCATCCCCAACCCTGTAACTGACCACTCACCTGTCCTCTCACTCTTCCTCCATTCACTGAGGACTCAGCAGACACTTGCTGCATTTCCTTTCCTAACTCACCACCATTGCTTTGTGTCACTTATCACTCCTTTCTGAAAGCAGGTAGTTCACCCTCAGTCTCTTTAATGCATTTACAGACAGACCATTGTCATATCTGTACTTCTCTACAGTCAATAAAGCTAAATTTTAAGTAATAATGCTAAGTTTAAAAAAAAAAGACTCACAAATCTGTTAATTTTCCCGTGAAACAATGGAATCTGAAATCTTCCTCCTTTGCTGAGTGCTGTGCTCTATTTAAATTCTGCAATTAACAATGCTACTTTTAAATCACATGAGGAAGGGCCATCTATCAGAACTCTAAAAGATCCTCATTTGCTTTTGTTCTGTGAAACTGTACCAGGACAAATAATAAAATAATAGTCTTTAGAGGCTAAGCAGATGCTCAGTGTGTCAGTTGCCTTCTGTGAATCATGAGGACCTGTGTGTTGATCTCCAGTAGCCACATTAGAATTTGATGATGTGGGTACACTTGTAATCTGAGCTCTGGGGAACAGAGACTGGAGAATCTGGAGTCTCATTAATCATTCAGTCTAGTCCAATTGGTGGGCTTCAGGTTCAGTGAGAACCTCTGCCACATAAACGAATAAATAAATAAACAAACATGTAAATGAATGAATGAATGAATGTGGAGAGCAATAGAGGAAGATACCCAATACCCAATGTTGACCCATGGTTTATACACACACACACACACACACACACACACACACACACACACACACACACACAAGCATAGCGATAGAGAGAAGAAAACAGAGACAGAGAGATAGAAGACAGAGAAACAGAGACAGATGGAGGCAGAGAGACAGAGAAGTTACACTAATTTAAAAACCCACTTTTACAAAATCTGATTAGCTTGTAAAAGTCTAATATCAAGTTTTATTCAGAAGTTGTCCTGTTCTATCCACACAAAGAACTCTACTTATTACATGTTATAGAAGCTTCTATACCATTGCCCTGAAGTTAAATACTGTGTATTTTTTGTGTGTGCAAAACAGTCTCATGATAATCTTGCCAGGCCTGTCGCTGTCTCCAGCCTATTACATGTACATGATACATATAAACTGGAAGCACTATGATGGGTGATGTCGATCTGTATGCTGTGAATATGTGTTGCTCTGATTGGTTGATAAATAAAGCTGTTTGGCCAATGGTGAGGCAGAATAGGATTAGGTGGGACATTCTAACTAGAGAGAGAGGAAGGAGAAATATAGAGCAGAGGAGATGCTGCCAGCCACCTCCATGAGGAGCAAGACGTAAAAGTACCAGTAAGCCACAAGCCATGTGGCAAAGTATAGATTTATAGGTTAATTTAAGATATAAGAAATAGATTAATTTAAGATACAAGAACCAAATAACAAGAAGCCTGCCATGGCCATAGTTTAAAAATAATATTAGCCTATGTGTGTTGATTTGGGTTCAAGTGGCTGTGGGACCTGCCAGTGAGAGAGATTTATCCTGACCATAGGCCAGTCAGGACATAGGAAAACTTTCAGCTACATACTTAGGGGCATGTTAAGGCCACATAAATTGGTGGTTGAATTTTTCAGTACAGCTGTATCATCATTGAGAACATAGCTCTTAATCTTTCATTTACTCTCATTATCCCAATGGATGAAATGAACCAAAAAGCAATCAGAAGAGAAAGTAGAAACTAGGTCTCTGAAAGAGCTCCAGGTCTCAATAGGGTTTAAACAACTGGTCAAGATGAATATCAGGGATGAGTTTCTGGTATCTGAGGTATACTCCTCTGCACATCTCACTGCTGAGTGAAGAAAGGCAGCACATGCCCTGGACTGCAGTTTCTGAGGCTAAGCAGGAGACCATGGGAGCCACAGCAGCCTGGGGAGCTTAGGTAGTGTGGCCTTGTTGGGATAGATGTGGCCTTGTTAGAGAAAGTGTGTCACTTTGGAGGCAGGTTTTGAGGTCTCATATATGCTCAAGTCAAGCCCAGTGAGTCAATCCACTTCTTAATGTTTTCTGATCAAAATGAAGCCAGCACCATGTCTGCCTGCACACTGCCCTGCTAGCTGACATGATGATAATAGACTGAACCTATGA